AACGGGCGCCGCTCCCTCCCGCAGCCCTTCAACTCCCCCGCTACCCGCACCTTCTCCTCATGGCGGACGCCCCAGGCAGCCGGAAGTCGAGGCCCCCGAGCTCTTCCACGCGAGCCAAGGCGTAGCCACCACCCGAAAACGCCGACTAGCCCGTTCCACGTAGTTGCTCCACGAGCCGTTGGGCCCCGCGGAATTTCAAAACGAGCCTGGAGGTGAGCAGCTCCGCGATTGGTGCGGCGCCTGGTCGCTCGTTACGAAGCCCCGCCTTATCCCCGCCCCATGCAGCGCGTAGTCCTGCTGCGGTTCCCAGGCAGTGCTTGCGTTTGGGCGAGAGAAGCGGCGATCCAGCCGGCGCGTGCGCGCGACCACGTCCGGAAGTGGCGCGCTCCCCTCTGTCGCGGGAAGCGCAAGGAAGGCCCTCCAGACAATGACATCACCCCAGCTCCGCCCGGCCCGCCCTGTTTAGATTCGAACAGCGCTGTAACTGGTTTCCTCAATCTTCTAGCTAGAGAAGCTGGGAAATGACCTTCGGTGCGAATACTTCCCAAATATAGGAAACTACACACTAAAGGGGAAGGGAAGGAACCTAGGGGCCTGGTACCGCTCGAGATAAATTAGCCATTAATCATCCTGACAAACCTGCTAGTTATTATCATTACACAGAGGAGAAAATTCTCAAGACTTGAATGGACGATTGGTGAATAAATTGAGATAACCTGGGCATGTTTTTCAACTTACATGAATGTTACATGAAAACTTTAAAATTTGAAATGGACATCAAAGTACTTCCATGTTTTCTGTCTGAACAACAGCAATATCCCTAAATGCACATATATATCACATTTTTCCTATTGATTCACGATTGCATAATTCCTGGCATATAGGTATCTCACAACTCAACTATATTACTGACTTATTTTTCTTTTTTTGAGACAGGGTCTCACTAGGTAGTTGAGACTGACCTGGAACTTACTATGTAGCCCAGGCTGGTCTCGAACTTACAGTGATCCTCCAGCCTCAGCCTCCCGAGTGCTGGGAATACAGGTATGCACTACCACGCCCAGCTTGCTACTGATACTTTTATCATAATTTTAAAGATAACACTGGGATATTTTCATACATAAATCTTTGCATCTTGCATTATTTTTGCGACTGAGTCCTAGAAGTGATGCTCCCTTTTAAGCGAGGTTGAACAGTACTCATTAGTTTATCCACTGCCAAGCCTCCCCAGGCCCTCCTGTTACTCTCATCAGTGCTGAATCCTACTGTACTGTACTTTTAAACCTCTTCCTTTAGAGGAAACAAAAAGGTATTTCTCTGTTCAGTTCACCCTTGTCTGATTATAACCTGCAATTGTACATTTTCACTATAAGCCAACTATGATTTCTGTCAATTCTTACTGTTTGCCTTTCCCCTAAAGGGAAAAGATGCTTGGCTTCACCTCCAGTCATTACTTTCAGAAAATCTTCATCGATGCTTTCAATGTCTCATCAGCAAATGTGCCAAATATTCACACCAATACAGAAACCATTTCTGAAACTTATTTGGGTTTTCTTTGGGGGGCTGTTGAGACAGGGTCTTGCTATAGGCCAAACTCAAATTTGTGGTAATCCTCCTGACTCACCCTGTGAGTGCTGAGATTACAGGCATGCACCACCATGCTTGGCTGTTTGCATTCTTAACTTGAGTTTTCAGATCAGAGTAGGTGTTTTCAAGGTGGTATGACTAGAAAGGTTTTCAGAAAGCTTCAGAAATGTGTGTGTTCGGAAGTGTTCCCAGGACCTGCACTGTAAAGTATCCAAGGCTAAGGTGATGTTGCTCTCACATCTTTAACACAGTAGTTCTGAAGCTCTTATCTTTGCCTATTGCAAAAATAGCCATTAACAGCACATGTTCAGCCCATGAAAACACCACAAACTGTGGCGTGTGATCCTATTAGAGGGTCACACTGTGTGTCCACCTGAGCATGAGCAGTGTGTGGTGACCAGTTACTTGAAGTAGGGTCTTCCTGATGCCACATGTGCCTTCTGTGGACTAACAGACCTGTCAGTAGTATTCTTCAGTCCTGCTCCCTACCCTGACAGAACACTGGAGGCTTGCCTTTTCCTTGGAATACATTCTGATACAGCATTACCATTTGTCTATGGAAAGAATGCAGTTACCCAGGTTTTGACTTTCTCTCTTTCTCCTGATAAGTGGCAGCACTGTGGGGTTAGAAGAGGCCTGAAAAAATCGCCTCTTTGCCTTCTGGCTAAGATCAAGTGTAGAAAAGGCCTAAAAAGAGACCACTAATGTATGCAAGATTAAAGCAAAAAAGAGCCAGAATAGTGCTGCATGCCTGTAATCCCAGCATCTGGGAGGTTGAGGCAGGAAGATCACAAATTCAAGCCCAGGTTGGTCAATTTAGCAAGACCTTGTCTCAGAATAAAAGTTAAAAGGATCTGGGGATGTAGCTCAGGGTAAAGGTCCTGGGAAAACAAAAAAGCTTTTGCTGACCATCAAATCCATCCATCTTATTTTAGGGTTGAGGAAACTTTGGTACAGAGCTGTGAGTGACTTACAAGGAAGAATGGAGTCGGCCCAGAGCTCTCTGGGAGTGTAGGCCATGAAGCATTTGACACCTCAAGGCCAGCCCCGCTGTGCTGTAATTAATAGAGATGGTAGTGCAGGTCCAGACTACAAGGCTTTATTTACAATGATATTCAGATGGGATTTAGTAAAGGATACTTCTTCCCCCCTGCATATCTTAGCAGCATGGACCATACAGTACTTTGTAAACAAAAACAAAGACTATTCCGGGGGCAGGACAAGAACTCTCTCTTCAGGTATGTTCTCAAAGTCCTAGGTAAGTTCCACGCTCCCCAACTCTGAGCAGGGTAGTTGGGGACCCTGTGTTAGCAGCAAGTTGCCAAACACCCCCACCCCCGGGGAACAGTCTGGAGAAGGCTTCCTGCTGGCTGGGAACATTCAGGCTTTCACCTCACTCATGGCCTCCATTAGGCGAGCACTGTTTGTGACAGCTGTCGTCAGAAAAATGAACCTGTATCCTAAAGAGCCAAGAACAGCAACAGAAGTAATTAAGAGTGGACCTCAGGTACCCCACAGGAACCACAAGGAGCCCCAAGTGGCCCGGTCCCCACCTGATGAAAGCACCGGTGCAGACACAGAGATACACACTTGCTAAGACAGGAGGACTGGCAGTAGCAGGGTTATGGCGAGTGGTACCAGGGCCAAGAGAAAAGCCTTATGTGGGGACCCAGAACCCATGCAAGCCTCTTCTTACCTTTCTGTTCTCTTACCTTTCTCTCTGCCTAAGAAGCGCAGGGCTGAGATCTCTGAGAACGTGCACCCACCCAAGAACACCACCAAGATGAGGCGCAGGGACTCGCTGGAAGCCCTGTCCTCCTTGGTCATGTCTGTGAGGATCAGCTGCGTCAGCTTCACGCTGGCACTCGAGCACCAGGTGACACCCCAGCCACACCTGCCATACCACATACCTGCGAACGAGCACTCGCTGCAGTTAAGCAGCCGCACCACCTCCTCAAGGCCCTGCCAGCTCCTCCGCTCCAGCACCTGGGGAGATGGAAATACTGCTTTCAAGTCTGTAGGGGGCACCGGGCATATGAAAGAAAGGCTCACAGCCAGACTGGCATGTTTGCTGCTAGTTAGCAGCATCACAGAGCTGGGACCACAGGAAAGCAGAGGACGAAATGAACAAGAATGGCTGTCCCACCTGCTCAATGAGTCGGCAGCTCAGGGGCACGTAAGCACCACTGAAGACATATGCCATGTCGCGGGGCACTTTCAGGTCATACTCGCCATCCACACGGGGAATCTAGGACAGAGATGCCACACCAGGCAAGCAACAACTCAGCTGTAATCCTTCAAAGGGTCAGATAAGAGCAGCATAGCCAACAAGTTCCCATTTCACATAAGGGAGAACCAGCAATAATCCTGAAAACAAGGGATCTATAACCAAGACAACCACTTCTGTTTAGCACCCAATGATTCTCTGCAATGTGAGAAGCTCCCTGTGTAGGGGCTGGAGGAGGGGTTCCCCTTTTCTAGTTCCTTTGGGGGGAGCATGAAAATCCATGCTTCCCATTATTGAATGGCATGTATTTGTTAATTAAATGAGTCAATCCCTGAATCTTATCTCAAATTAAGCTCATGCCTATAAGGTTGCCAAAGGGTCTTCCTAAAAATCAAAGAACAAAATGGTTTTTATGGATTCAAAGTAACTCCACAGAGGAATAACCCATAGCCTCCCCGTCCAGCCCTGTTCCACATACCAAATTCAACTTTTTGCTAATGGCACGAAAATTGCTTCTCTTGGCCAGAGAACTGAAGGCATCGGTAATCTTCCCTGGGGAGGAAAACTGTGCTAGGTTCCATTTCAGGTCCATGCGTTTGTGACACAGCCCACTGCACAGGAGTCACCATTTAAGATGTGACAGAACCAGCGTGTTTGAAGAACCCCTTGAAATGGTTCACCTACACTTCCCTGGAACTGATCAAGATACTCTTGGCACACCACTCCCCACCCACTCCCTTCCTCCCCCTACAGGGCCTGCCCTGCCTATTAAGAGCAGTCCACAAAGTGACCCCAGTTTATGGGTTGTGCCTGGGCTTTGGAGTCCTACTGACCTGATCAACTAACCACAGGACCTTGGAGAAGCCACTTAATTTCTCTTAGCCTCCATTTCCTCATCCATAAAATGGGGGAAAGAAAACTTAACTCATGGTGTCTTTTTGAGGATTAAATGAGAAATCATGCACAACAGCGTAGCACATGCTAGGTGTTTGGTACATGGAAACTGCTCATCCTGGCAGAAGTAGCAGTACAGGTGACACAGAAAGGGACCCTCCCTCCCCCCGCCCTCTCCCTCCCAGGGCTCCGTGTAACTAGAGGAGAGGGAATAGCCACCACGGTGGAGACAGGGATAAGGATATCCACGCTCGCTGTTCACCTGCAGCCTTGTCGGTCACCAGCTTGCTCACTTTACTCTCCACTGCTGTGAGCGTGTCCCCGGGAGCCTGCTCTGTTAGGAGCCCTGCTCGCCGCAGATTGGAGAAGGTCAGCAGGTGCTCGGGGCCGTAGCTCTGAAGGAAACGCAATGGGCTATTTACTGAGTGTCTGCTGAGAGTTTGGCTCTACTAAGTGATGCGGAGGTGAAGGTGAGGACTTCACAGCCTACTCTGCAGTCTCTGCTGTGTAGGAGCTCACATTTTGTGGTATGCAGGATTTTCACATCAGAAATAACCCAACACCAAGCCAGGTATGGTGGTGCAAGCGCATAGGAGGCCGAGGTAGGAGGATCACAAGTTCAAAGCTAGCCTGGACTACACAGTGAATTTAAGGCCAACCTGAACTATATAATGAGACTCTATCTCCAAAAAATAAACAGGCACCCAAAAAGAATAGAAAAGGAGGGCCAGGATTTAGCTCAGTGGCACCACACTTGCCTTGCAAGCACAAGGTCCTGGGTTCAATCCCTGGTACCAGAAAGGAAAAAAGAATAGAAAAGGAGGCCAGGCGTGGTGCTCCACATCTGTAGTTGCAGTATTGGGGAGGCTGAAGCAGAAGAAATGCCTTGAGTTTGAGGCCAGCCTGGGCTACATATCATGTTCGTTTGTACTACAATTATAGTTCAGGCTGAACTACATAGCAAAACCCTGTCTCAAAAAAGAAAGAAATAAAAAGAGATAATACCACCAAAGAAAGAGGAATCTGTTTTCTATATGACTCATGACTATTTTTGCCTTGTGCTCCTTTGCTAACTTCCTTTCATTAAATACATTTTATTACCCCCCCCAAAAGAGGAATAAAATGCAGCTTGAAACTTACAGGACAGAGAGGCCTGTGAATATAAGGATGGTAAGGAAAGCTTCACTGAAGTAAGACATGAGAAAGACTAAAAGTCGAGTTAAAGCAGGGACTCACAGAGTGCTATGGTAAAGCGATTCTTAGGAGAAAGAATTCACTGGGTTCAACAGCTGAACTGTTCAAATTCTCTTGGGCCAGGCCACCCACCATGAGAGGCAGGGTGTACTGAGAGGGGAGGCTTGCTAGCACTGCAAGAAGGAGGCTAGGATGGAAACAGGATGGGGTGGGGAAGGAGGGGCCATTTCTTCTGTGCCTTCTTCAAAACTTCCCTAAACTCCCCCTCCACAAAGTTCCCATAAGAACAACTTCTCCAGGCCTCACCTGCAGATACTGTGTTTTCAGAGATCGGTAATCCTTGGAGATCAAACCTGAAGGTGAGGAAATAAAGATGGGTGTATGAGAAAGAGGCCTGCTGAGGTACCCTAAAACACAGCCAAAGCACCAACACCACTTTAATCAGGAGGAAGGGCTGCATAAATGTTAGCCCTACATAGGGTACAGTTGATTAGGAACTGAGTGCTGAATTTAAGCGTGCTTATGAAAGATAAAGCCCAGCCACAGAGTTCCAAGGAAGCATTCTGAGCCACAGGGTGGTGAGGAAAGGACACCTGGCTAATGCTGATCAAGCTGCAGATGGGAAGTGGGGGTGGGGAGAAAATGGGGTTTCTCCTGCATTTCTTTCCAGCTAAGAGGCAGTTCTCCTGGGAACTACTTTACAGCTCCTCAGAAACAGGAAGTGTAAAATGGGTTCCAATGTATGGTCTCAGATGTTTTTCTCCAGAGAGGGAGTAAGACATATATTTCCAACTACAGTACAATAAAGGTAATTTAGAATAGGCAAAGGACTTTTTTTCCCCTCAGTACCATGGATCGAACTCAAGACCTTGAGATTGCTAGGCAGGCGCAGCACCACTGAGCTACATCCCCAGCCCCTAAAGGACTTCTTTAGCTTGGAAACAATCTTAAAGAATACAGAAGATTCAAACTGGAAGATTCCAAAAGTATAAACAAGTTGCTGGGAAAGGCAGCAGAATCTGGGCTTTGGAAAATGTTTATGAAATTTAGTTGGCTGCCCCTTCCTCCTGGGATGATGTATTTTTAATCATGAAACTTTATCATAGACAGAGGCACCTGAAGTTATAGAGAAGTGCCACATAGTGCCACACCGTTGCTGCCCTGAGCCTTGATGGGCACTGGGTGCTGGGGGCTGCAGGCGATCCTGCCCAGCTGCTCAGGGATGGGCCACCTAATTACCCTATAACCTTATGGGAAGTCACCCAAAACAAAAACTGCATTTTTGCCCCCAGTACTGGGGACTGAACCAGCCATATCCCCAGTCCTTTTTTTATTTTTTGAGACAGGATCTTGCTAAGTCCCCTAAATTGCCCAGGCTGGGCTCAAACTTGTGATCCATCTAGGTCTTTTTTTTTTTTCGGTACTCGAGATTGAACTCAGGACTTTACACTTGCTATGCAGGCAGTGGAACCACTGAGCTAAATCCCCGGCCTCAAACTTGTGATCTTGCTGCCTTAGCCTCCAAGATTGCTGGGATTATGATTAGCTCCACCATGCTAAATGCTGCTTTATTTCCTAGGAGAAACCATGAAACTATAGGGAAACATTCTGTTTCTTTCAGACTAGCTGTGGTGGTGCACGCCTGTAACCCCAGCACTTGGAAGGCTGGGGCAGAAAGACCACCTCAAGTTCAAGGCTGACTGGACTACATAACACCCTGTCACACACACACACACACACACACACACAAAAGCCTTGTTTTTTGCAATCCTGTCTTCTCTCCCTGAGGCACAGCTCTCAACTTGTCATCCTCATCTCCCATCTTTTGGGCTCACCATTCTCAGTGATGGACAGGAGGCACATGAGGCGAAGGCTTTCTATGGGCGACACCTGTGCAGGAAGACAAAGTCAAGGAGAGCTGTTCTCTTCCTTCCATTATGTGACCCACCCCCACCCCCCAAGCACCATTCCCTACCTCCCAGGCCTTTGGCTGCTCACCTGCCGGTCTATGTGCTCTTCAATGTAGCTGGTACTCTCCCGGATGTTGAAACCTTCCAGCAGTGCTGTGGGAACAGAAGAGTGCCTGTTACTAGGGTCAGCACAGCTGCTGCCTTCTATGATCACAGGGGCTGTCTCCCTATCTCTTTCTCCATGCTTGGAGCGGACTGATGGACCCCAGGACTTCTGGGAGGAAACAGCTAGGGTGAGCTGGGAAATGCCAGAGAGCATCTGCAGCTGTGAGGTGGGGCAGGAGGAACAGAAGCAGTTGGGGAGGCTACTGCAGGTACCATGCTCAGTCTTGATCAGCTCCTGGAAGTCCTGCTTTGTTTTCTTCTTCATGATCGATTCACAGGCCCCAATATCTGCAAATATGACAAAAAGGGAGCTGACATATTCCTGATTCTAGAAAGATGCCTCTTTATTGTCCAGAAGAAGAATATCTTAAGGCAAAATCTAGAAGCGCTTCTTTCCATTTTGGATCAAAGGAGACCACTACCCAACCAGGGATCTCTTCTTGGGAGGCAAAGACCCTCGGCAGCATCCGTCAGGGGTACAGTCACCTCCCCTCGTGCCCCCAGCTGGCACCTACGGAGACTCAGCAGGCGGTGCTCCTGTTTCAGTCCCTTGAGCTCCTGGGACACGAAGTTCTTCATCTGCTTGATGTCCATGCCTCTCCGGCGCTGTGGGGACATCCCCATAAGGTCAACACCCCTGGCTTCACACAAGAAACCACCACACTTCCTCTGTAGCTACCCACCCATGAAAGGAGAGGGGGGCCTGTCATCATAGTAGGAGGGGATCCCAGGGCAGTAGCCTGGGGAGCTACTGAGGAAACCAAAGAGAAGATCAGGGTATGTGGCCTCACATCATACTGTGCCTGCAGGTTCCGCGCCTTCTGGCTCAAGAAGCCAAAGACATTGGAGAAGTGCTCATTGCGAATTTCTCCAAACACCTGTGGGGGAGAGATAAGGCATGGCTCACTGTGTCAGCACCATAACTTGCCCCTTCCCATCTCACCAGCAGAATGGCAGGAAGGAAACCCTGGCTCCAAAGCATTGGGCCTTCCTCCCAGAGTGGGGCCCATCCCTGGGTAAGTCACTGCTAGTGCCCATGCCTTTACCTTGTCATCAGCATTGAGCAGCACCTTTAGGCTCTTGTCAGAAGATGTGACTTCTGGGCCAAAGTCAACACTGCCTTTGAGGGCAGAGGGGAAGATGATTAGGAAATCCATGGAGGCCTCCTCTTGCCAGAAAAGAACCCCACTGCCAGCAATGCACTGAGTCAGGGTCTCTCCCACAAGCCCAGCCTTGGTATGGGAGGCATCAGAGGATGATGGTCACTTCTGCTTTGCCAAGATGTGAATGATGAGGCCACTTACCGCACTTGATGCGGAAGGTATCGTCTACCAGGCCCTCGTAAACCACTTGGGAGCAAAGTGCTGTCACAAAGTCCATGTCTGAAACCAAGATTCCAACCATAAAGGTTCCCCAACCCAGCTCCTACCCATTTTGTTACATATCAGCTCAAGTCCTTTCCACAGAGCCAAGTGCTCATGTTCTGAATCACTGTGGAGACTCACAACCCTAACTTTCAGATCCAGACATTGCCACCACAATTTCCATGCTTCCATGTCTTGCAGAGCCCAAAGACAGAGGAATGCTGGGTATAATTTACCTCTATCTAGGAGAAAGATATGTCCAATCTCTGGCCTTCGGCTTTTGGTTTCATTCTCCTCCTCCTCCTCCACGTTCCGCCACAATTCATATGACATCTGTCAAGACCCAAAACACTCTCAATTTTATGTCTGGGTCCCTACTGTAACCCCATCCCTACACAAGCCAACCCTTTCCATGTGACACTTCATCTTTCTGCCAAGAAGGGGACAAATCATGACCAAGATAAAGCCATTCCCCTCCCATCTGCTACTATCTCTCTCTACCACTCCCTATGCAGAGTGGCACCCTGCCCAAAAGACAAAAAGATGTAGGGATGCCACCCAGAGGCCCTGGCTCTTGCTTTCCTGTCAACGACACAAATTCTCTCCAGACTATACCTAAAAGCAAGGTGAAGAATACACCTCATACACACCACAGATAATGGAACATCTGTGTACCCAATCCTTACTGGGTACAGAACAGGGAAAACCAGGGGTACAGGGATGAAATGCTGTAAGTGCTCTTACCTTGGCACACCTGCCAATCCCATAGCTGTTTGGAAAGGATCCATAGAGAGTGCTGAGAAGGTGTAAGGCCTGAGCCACAGTGTTGATCCAACGCTGATCTCCTTCCTGCAGAACCACATGGACCACAAAGACATGGATCAACATGACAGGTCCCCTGGAGAGTAACTGGCCTTAGAAGCCCTGCGGAGGGATGGTGAGGTTGGGGGAATGCTTGGAAGAGTTTGCACTGGCACCAAGGAAAACTCATCCAGATCAACCTGTAGCCTTCAACTGCCAAATCATTCATTTGCAATAAATTGTATGTGTTGGACAAAGCTTAAATGAGTATTTCTAGACTACTAGACTTCATATTTGTTCCAGTTCCTTGATGTCAACATCAGGGGCTCTGTATTTACCAGGAAGTAATCCCTGAAAAATTCCGGCAGCTCCATGCTCAGCAGATCCACATCAAGAGGCAGCAGAGAGAAGGCCCATTCATCACAGCTCACGTCTGTGGGGACACAGCACATCAGGCTTCCCACAGAAGGTCTGCCAGTCATGCAACAAACACTGGAGTACCCGTCACACACCAGGTACTGTGTTTAAAGCCAGAGACTCAAAGAAGACTAAGAACAGTCTCTGCCTAAAGAGATAAGTCTGGTAATGAAAGGAAACCTGTACACAGCAGCCTGCAGCACAGTATGCTGAGGGGGTGGGTTTTTATTAGAAAGCTCACCACAAACGTTCACTCATTTGTTATTCAGCAAATATTTACTGCAACTCACCTTCATGCCAGACTAAGCATTGGGAGACAGGGATGTAACCGTTCCCAGTTTTCTGGCACTTATGATCTAGCAGGGATGAGATGCAGCAAATTGTGATACGAGCCACTTAATTAGAGTTGTGCTTCTGAGAATCAAAATAGCAAACCCTGGGCTGGGAAAGTAGCTCAGCTTAGAGCACGTACTTAGCATGCAAGATGCCCTGGGTTCCATCTCTAGAACAAATAAAACAGCAACTCCTGAGCATAAATGGCTGGGTGCAGTTTTACCTGCCTGTAATTCCAGCATTGAGGGAGCCTGAGGCAGGAGGATCTAAAGTTCAAGTCTCACCTAGGCACCCTAGCAAGACACTGTCTCAAAATAAATAAACAAATACACACACACACCACACACACACACACACACACACACACACACACACACAATCTTTTTTTTGGTACTGGGGATCAAATTCGGGACCTGGTGTTTATGGGGCAGGTGAGGTGCCGCTGAGCTAAATCCCCCAGCCCAATAAATAAATAATTTTAAGAGGGCTGGGGATGTGGGTCACTGGTAAAACACCCCGGGCTTGATTCCCAGTACTTAAAAAAAAGGTGACAATTAAGCTTAGAATGTGAATACACAAAAAGTGGTCAGGTGGAGAACACTCTAAGCAGTAGGCAAGGCATATGCAAAGTCCCAGGGACAGAGGCAGTCAGGAAAAAGGAGCATCATGGGATGCAGCTGAAGGGACAGGAAGGGGTCAGAAGGCCACATGGAGGCGTGTGCACTTTATGCTGAGCCACTGCAGGATTTCCAGCAGGGAGGAGCTGCATGGAGGATGAAATGAGGAACACATAGGGCGAGGGACCCTGACTTTTCTTAGTGGGAGCAGGAAGTGAGAATGGAGCAGATAACGGTCCCCAGCTCTAAGCCCAGGCGTCCCTCCAGTGCCCTCAGGGAGCTTGTGCTCCCTCCCTACCACAGGAACCAGGAGGAGGAGCTGGCAGGGGACACAGTGACTGTCCTTCTTCCCAGTCCCTTCCTCCCTGGCTCTCTCCCTTTCCACTCACATTCAATTCCTCTCACCTCCATAGATTCCCTCTTCCTCAAGCACCATCTCACATGCGTAAAACTGAAAGACAAGAGCAAGTTGGTTAGTGACCTGGCTCCTCTCTGCCCTTCCATTTCTTCAGTAAGGTCCTCAGAGTGGAGCCCCCAAAACCAAATCCTGGTGGCTTCATGAGAAGAACCTGGGGGCTGGGAGTACGGCCTGGTGACAGAGCACCTGCCTAGCATGCGCAAGCCCCGGGTTCAATCCTCAGCACCAAAAATAAATATGTAATTTAAATAAAAGTCAAGAAGAGAAAGACCAGGACACACACGAATGCTCCTTGTCTCCTGCCAGGTGCTACCCTACACTGCCTCAGAAATCTGCTGGGACGGTAGCTGTCACCACACATAGGCCAGTAGTCTTAGACTAAGTCAGAACCATAAGCCAAAACAAACCCCTTTTCTCTGTAAGTTACCCAGCCTTGGGTATTTTATTACAGTAACAGAAAACAAACTAAGTCACTCATGAGGACAATTCCTAAACCCAGTGTAAAAAGCCAAGAGAAGTCAAAACTCTTAGATCTAGAATGGAAGGAATCATCTAACCCAATACTTCATTCCTTTATCATCTTTTTTCCCCCTTTTTGGTTTTTTGAGACAGGGTATCCCTATGTAGTGAAGGCTGGCCTTGAACTCATGCTGATCCTTCTGCTTAAAGGTGTGCACCACACCCAGGTTTTTCATCCATTTTATTTGCTTATTAATCCAATTTTTAAAAATTCTTGAGATGGGAAAAGCTTTTACAGAGAAGAAAGATGTTTTGGGTGCCTTTGCAAGGTGAGTTGAAGTATGGAGGTGCATGCCTGTAATTTCAGCATTTGGGATGCTGAGACAGGAGGACTGTGAGTTGGAGGCCTTCCTGGCCTGTACAACAAAATGCTGTTGGAAAGAAGGGAGGGAGGGAGGAAGAAGAGTTGTGCAGGCAGAGCTGGAAGAATGGTATAAAAAAACTGCAGAAATGGCAGAGATGCAGGGGGCGGTAAAAAGCAGAGGGTCTAGTGAGGACGTGCCCATGAGACCCGGAGACGCTGGGCAGTGGAGACACAGCCCTGCTAGTCAGTGGCACGTACGCTATAGTTAAAGAGGATATTTTGTTCAAGACAGGGCAGAGAAAGAGTACTAAGGACAGGACCCCAGAGAAAACCAAAAAACGAACAGGAGTAATAGCCCCAGGGCAGCAGGAAGGCCAGCGATTCAAGGAAGATCATGAGACAGTGCCTGACAGCAGAGAAGCTACGTGGGAGGAGCAATGCCAGGGGACAAGGGCAAGGGTCCCAAGGTAAGAGTTTGGCAGTGTGACGGGGCTGCAGGAAGGGGATGGGCAGGCTGTTCAGGACGGGCTGAGGGGGTGAGGCCAGGAGAGAGGGGCATTCACTGGATGCATGGGAGAGAAGGCAGGCAGGGCCTGGGCTGGCACTTGGCCAAAAAGGAAGAGGTCAAGGTCTCCTCCTTCTCTGCACTAAGTGGGTAAAGGCTGAAAGTTTAGAGAAAACTAAGAAGACTGAGGGGCTCAAGGGACAGTGACAATAACATTAATAACGGCTAATGTGATGACGTGCTTAATATGGGCCAGGTTGTTCGGGTTTTATAAGGACCCCCATCTCTACCCACGTCACTCTGCGAGGTGAGACTCAGGCTCAGGGCTCCATATTTTATGCTACCCAGATGAATCCTACTCATCTCTCACTGATTTCTGCCAGGAAAGCAAAAAGCTGAAATCGATGGGCCTCACTTAAACTTTTGGGGTTTTCTGGTTTTAGATTTTGCTTTGTTGTCATCTGTGTTTTTGGTGGTGATGCTGGGAATTGCACCTGTAACTCTGAGTGCTAACTAATGAACCTCGAAAGTCAGTCTGAAAACTGCCAGTCCTCCTAATTAGCAAAGTCTCAGAAGGACAGAGATATCTCCTTCTCAGCTACTAGAACATCATTTCTGTCAGAACTGAGGCCGAGGAAGGGCCTGCCATGCACCTTGCTGATGTGGAGGAAAGAGGGCAGCTCCACAGAATTAAGAAACAGTGAGACAATCTAGGCCTAGTGGCACAAACCTGTAATCCCAGCGCTAAGGAGGCTTAGCCAGGAGCACCATGAGTTCAAGGCCAGCCTGGGCTACAAAGTGAGACCCTGCCTCAAACTCCCCACCTCCATTAACAACAACAACAACAAAAAAAAACAACAGCGATACAGCTGGGCACAGTGGCGCACGCCTCTAACCTCAGCTACCTGGGAGGCTAAGGTAGGAAGACGGCAAATTGGAGTCCAGACTAAAAAGGGTTGGGGATATGGATCAGTGTTAGAGTAGCCCTGGTGGTTTGATCTGAGGAGAGAAGGAGGGAAGGAGGGAAGGAGGGAAGAAGGGAAGGAAGAGAAAGAGAAAAAGGAGAGAGAGAAAAAGGAAGGAAGGAAGGGAGAGTGGGAGGAAGGGAGGGTCATTCATTCACTGTAAAGGCTCCCTCTGACAATTCCACAGTACTGTATTTGGGGCGGTCTGATAACAAACCCTTTGCTTACCAGTCAGGGACGGATTAAGCATGACACAGTGACAGATCTTAGATTCAGACCCTTGGATTTACTCCGAGCAACACTGCTGTAGGCCCCTTACCCCATCCTGCCTCATTTCCCACTCTGCCAGGACTGACTCACCTTCTGAGGGCTGAAGATCACTTTGTATTTTCGAGTTCGGCCAGCCACTTTGTCAGCATTGACAAGATCTAGAGAGAAGGAATGAAGCCTGGAACGCCAGAGACTAGAAAACAGAACAGCTATCTTCTACAAGTGCTGCAGCCGATTCACATAATCCTTTCCCTTTTATTTTTATTTTTCAGGGGGGATGCTGGAAATAGGACCCAGGGCCTTGTGTATGCTAATCAAACACTCTCACCACCGAGCTACACCCTCAGCCACAGCTGTCCCATGGCCAAAAAACTGTGATCTCGCCCACGCCTTCCCAGGTCTTAATTATACCGAGGACCACACAGTCCACTCACTGGCAATGTAGTGCATATTCTTGATGCGGGGTCTGACCAGGAAGCACAATCTATGGGAAAGAAAGGATAAAAAAATAATGAAGAAAAGTCAGGACATTGGGAACAGCGGCTTTGAAGAAACTGAAGCAATACTAGCTCTTTAACCATTTGCCCTTCTTGACGAAAAAGCCCTTCTGTCCATGCCAGTTCCCTTGGCCTCCCATGTCCTCCCAGCCCTGGAAGACGTCTCTTCACACCACAGGTGCATTGTGAGAAGTACAGTGCCTTTTTGCCCTGTGATGGGTCGGTCGGTCCAGAGGTCCTGTTCTATAGTTCAGTGGGTAAAAAAGACATATATATGGAGTATATTAACAATCAAGCAGCCGGGCTTTGTGGCACATGCCTGTAATCCCAGCACTCGGGAGGCTGAGGCAGGAGGATCACTGAGAGTTCAAGGCCAGCCTCGGCTACATGGTGAGTACAAGGCCAGTAGGGTGAGACCCTGTCTCAAAAAAACAGAAAAACCAAAAAAATCAAGCGCTAAAAAATAGGAAGTATAGGAAATGTTTTTTTTGGTTTTTGGTTTTTTGAGACAGGGTCTCACTATGTAGTTAAGACTGACCTGGAGCTCACTATGTAGCCCAGGCTGGTCTCGAACTCACAGCAATCCTCCTGCCTCAGCCTCCCAAATCCTGGGATTACAGGCATACGCCACTACGCCTGGCTTGGAAATAATGTTTTTAAAACCAAGGTTGATGGATGCATTCTCCATGATCTGGAGAATTTTTTTCTTCTAAGATATATATTACTAACTCTGAGAAATATTACAGAAGGACAACAGGTAGTTCCTGACCACCAGAGGACAAGTACAAAGGTCACAGGATCCAGAGAAGAGATCACACTATGCTGGAGGGAACCAGAGCTCTTCATGCAGGAAGTTCTGGGCCCTGATGGTCTAGCATTCTCTGCAGGAGCAGTGAGGACAGGAAGTACAGACAGAGCAGATGGAATGGTGGACAGGGTGAAGGGACAGGCAGAAAGTGGGGAAGTGTGCAGAAGCACGGTCAACAGAGGCTTGAAGGGGACACACAAGGAACAAACTGAACAGTAGTATGTGAGGCCACACCGGTGACAGCCCTGGTCTCTATGATTCACAAGTTGAACTCTGTCCAGTCAGTCATGGAAAGCCTTGAAGATTCTTGATAAGAGCACAATGAAAATAATTTTTGGATAACTGGGCATGGGGGTACATGCCTGTCATCTTAGCTCTCTGAGAAGCTGAGGCAGGAGGATCGCAATTTCAGCCTAGCCTGGTCAACTTAGTGAGACTCCATCTCAAAATAAAAAATAGAAAAAAGTGTGGGCTGTGTAGCTCAGTGTGAAGCCCTGGTTCAATCCCCAAGTGTCCACAGATGGCAAATGATTAGACAAGGAAAACAACAAGGGTGGGAGAAATCTGAAACTGTATGAGGAGTTCAAGAAGGTGAAGCACATCACAGACATCACAGGGCTGGATCCTGGCTGAGGACAGAGCAGAGATACAAGGGCTGGTGTCCCCTGGGACCTCCTCCAACTTGGCAGTCAGAGAAGCCCGACACTCACTGTTCGTTGGAGCTGAGCACTGGCTTGTTCTCCACCTTGTACAGCTTGTCCACTTCATGTTGCTACAGGGAGAATGCAAGACAAAGGACGAAAGAGTACTCACTGGAAAGCACAAAGCACCATACCAAGACGAGGGACTTCTTAAGGGCCACCTATGTATGCTAATTCTGGACTCAAACTGCTCCCTTGCTAACTATCCCGCTAAGACTTCCCTGGACTGTCAATGGGAAACCAAATTGAAAACAATACACAAAGAGCACAAGTAACATCATCAATCCTCTTTGCCCAATTCAGCTACCCTATCTTCCCCTATATGGGTGGTCACTTTTTAGTAATCTGAATTGCTCATTAAAAGAAAAACCGCTTAAAGAGGAAAGTGGGCCAGTACCTTCAGGATGGAGACATTGGCAATCCGATCCAAAGGGCTCATAAGATCTGGCTCAATGAACAAATCCTTTTTTCCAGGAAGCTGAAGGAGAAACAGTATGTTGGGTCACTCGTGGGTCCCACAAGCTCCCTCAGTTGACAATTCATCCAGCCTTCTATCGGACAGAAACAGGCCTGGTGAGATGGAAGTAAGCTAGACATCATCTAACCGAGCATCTTCTTTGTACCCACAGTAATGTTTCTCTGCATAGTAACCTATTTTGGAAAGATCTTCCACAGTCTTCTTCAGATTAACTCCTTGCCACTCAGCCCTCCTGTCACCTGTGACCTCATTCTGCATGGCTGGTCCTCTTTCCCTCAGCCTCCTCCACTGTCTCCAACCAATCCCTGGTCTCCTGCTGAACACAGCCAAATGTGACAATACCCTGCCTTGCATCTTGAACTGCCCCACAACTGTGAAATATCTTCTCAAGTAGCACTTCTCTCCCAATTACAAAAATAACACTGTTCAATGCGTAAGTTAGCCCAGGAGAGTACTTGTCTGATCACCTCCTCACTCACCCACTCCACCATCTCTATCTTCTTCCTTTTTTTTTGTTTTTTGAGACAGGGTCTCACTATGTAGTTGAGACTGACCTGGATCACTATGTATTAGCACTTCTCTCCCAATTACAAAAATAACACTGTTCAATGCGTAAGTTAGCCCAGGAGAGTACTTGTCTGATCACCTCCTCACTCACCCACTCCACCATCTCTATCTTCTTCCTTTTTTTTTGTTTTTTGAGACAGGGTCTCACTATGTAGTTGAGACTGACCTGGAACTCACTATGTAGCTCAGGCTGGTCTCGAGCTCACAGCGATTCTCCTGCCTCAGCCTCCTGAATGCTGGATTACAGGCGTGCGCCACCACGCCCAGCTCACCATCCCTATCTTCTGATTCCTACACGGTAACTCCTCACACTGCTCTCTCATCTCTTCAGAGGCTGAAGTCACAGTGAGTGACAGGGATGGGAAGTCACTGAAGGGTTCTCCTCCATCAAGAATAACTGGACAAGTGATTAGGCAGTTGCCAGCAATGTCTTCTGAGGACAATCACACTGGGGCTGGAGCAGGGCACAGGCTGAGTGGTGAGTGTAGACAAGTCCTTCAGCTCTGCTGATGCATAAGGTACGAGGAGGGCAACAGTTCTCACCTGGGGAAAATTCTGCCCCCAAAAAGACATGTGATAATGTCCAGAGTCTGATTTGAAAGTCTGATTCCGGGTTCGTATGTTCCTGGGATGCTGTTAAGCATCCTACAATGCATAAGACAGGCTTCTAAACACAGAATAATCCAGCCCAAAATGTCCATAGAACCAAGTTTCAGAAATACTGATGTGGGAGAAGGTAGGGAAAGAAAACTCCAATAGTTGATTAGAAATAAACATGAAGGGCTCCAGATGCCAAGTTAGGGGGTTTGGACTTGATCCTTTGCAGAACAGGGAAAACAGAAAGCTTTTGCGTCCTGTAACATCCATATCCACTAAAAATTTTATTTAGATGAATCTCACACCTACAGAGAAAATGGACTGAAGATACGAGAAATAATGAAGGCAGGGAGTCCACTGAGGAAGTTAACACACAGAGTAAGAGCCCAACATGTGACAATGAATGAGGACCAGCTGTAGCAGGTATGAAAATAGGTTAAGAGATACCTGGAATGTGTAATATAATGCCTTTAAATACTTGGAAGACATTAATAGAATTAACAGTGCTAACAGCTGACAGTAGGATTATGTGTTTTATATACTTTTATCTTCTACATTTTCTATAATGTGAAAATATTATTTTATAATCATTACTATTATTTGGGGTTTGGGTTTGTTTTTTTTTATCAGTACAGGGTATCAAACTTAGGACCTTCCACTTGCGAGGCAGGCATGGTGCCACTGAGCTAAATCCCCAGCCCTATTTTGATTTTTGGTTTTTTTTGGGGGGTTTTTTTGTTTTTGTTTTTTTGTTTTTGGTACAGGGGATCAAACTCGGGACCTTGCACTTGAGAGGCAGGTGGCACAACCACTGAGCCAAATCCCTGGCCCTCCTATTTTGAATTTTTGAGTCTCACTATATAGTCCAGGCTGGCCTTAAACTCACAGTGATCCTCTGCCTCACCCTCCTAAGTACTGGGATCACAGGTGTGTACCACCGTGACCTCCTATAATCATCATTTTTAAAATCATGTATAAGGAAGTAGCAACAGGACTCAGCAGCCAGATCTCCTAAGGGGAAGAAAAAGGCCAATCAAAGAAAATGATGAGTCTGACCTGAAGAGTAGTGCCCATTAATTCAGAAGTTAGTTTGGGAAGCATACTGTCGCACAAGCCCACTCTAGCCACGGTGAGTCATCCAATGGCTTCTTCCTCACTTTCCACTTCCAAGTTTCTATCTTGGTCTCATTTCCTCTCGTGTTGATCTCACCTGAACTAATAATAGCTTTAGCACTGCTTTTCAGTTCCTCAGACATTTGTTGAGTGTCTTGTGTGCAGATCACAGCGCTGACACTATGGGGCATTAAAAGCAGAATAAAATTGGTTCCAGATGCCCTTACCCTCTCCTTTGTCTCCATGTTCATCCCAGCCCACAAGATGGAGCTGCAGCTCCACATTTCCATCTGCTGGATGTTATGAGCTACATTTTTTTCACTTCACATTTAGACCTAATCAACTTCCACACCAACTCTGTTCCACTTTCTTTTTTTTTTTTTTCATTTCCATTCAATGTTCAAACAAGCAATATTCAAGCCAGGCATGGTGGCACATGCCTGTAATCCCAGCACTTGGGAGGCTGAGGCAGGAGGATCACTGTGAGTTCGAGACCAGCCTGGGCTACATAGTGAGTTCCAGGTCAGTCTCAACTACCTAATGACACCCTGTCTCAAAAAAACCAAACAAACAAGCAATATTCATTAAACGCATACTACGTGCCTGACTATAAACTAGGGAATCACTGGGTCTACAGTATATGGGCATGGTGGCACACATCTGTAATCCCAGTACTCAGGAGGCTGAAGAAGGGGGATCACAAGTTTGAGACCAATCTGGGCTACATAGCAAGATCCTGCCTTAAAAAGCAAAACAAGGTGGGTGTGGTGGCACATGCCTGCAATCCTAGCACCAGGGCAGTGGAGGCAAGAGGATCATTGCAAGCTTAAGGCTGGCCTGTGCTACACAGTGAGTTCAAAGCCAGCCTGAATTTCATAGTAAGACCCTGTCTCAAAAAACATCAACAAAAAAAACCCAACCCAAACCAAAATAAACAAACAAAAAACCCAGACAGACATAATCCTTGACCCAATCTTATATGGAGCATAGATATTAAATAAATACAGTGATACCTCAGTTGTCAAATGGCTCCAAGCTCAAACTTCCCACTACTCAAACAGAAAATTAAACAAAACTGCTCAGTGTTTGCAATTCTGCTCCACAACTGAATAGAAAATCTGACTTGAAATAACCTGTACAGCCCAGAGTGAGTCACACATCACAACTCACCAGATACAAAGGAGTGATGCTTCAGTCTCAGTGCTGCTCTTACCCAGACAACATATAGCAGTGGTGGTGAACCTGCCACAGCTGGCTGGCTGTTAGCATTGAAACCTCTTAAGGGGTCACCATCACAGACTTGTAGTGCTTGTGTTAGTGTGTTAAAATATTCGTCATTGTGCTTTTTTATGTGTGCTTTATTTGCATAAAATACTATAACCATAGCTCCAAAGAAAGCTAGTGATACCAACAGTAAAGCTAAGAGGAAAACTGTGAGAACCACGACGGAGTTAAAGAAATAATTGTGAAATTTGCTGATGTCCCAGAAAAATGAATTATAAGTGTAATTTTGGGGTCTCAGAACCAATTACTTGGTTTTCCATTATTTCTTTATAGGAAAAATAGGTTCAGTTCTCAAACTTCTCAGTGTTCAAACGTGAATTTGGAACAAATTGAGTTCAACAACTGAAGTATCACTATAACTAAACAATTAAGGAAGTAACCCATTACAATTATGGTAACAACCCAGGTTAAAAATCTCAAAAGTCAACTTAGCTTCTTCCTCATCACTTACAATGAATCAACAAATCTTTGACCTAGGGTCGTGCCATATGCCTGTAATTTCTAGCATTTGGAGGCTGTGGCAGGAGAATTGCTCTGAGTTCGAGGCCAGCCTGAGCTACCTTCTGAGTTCAAGGCCAGCCTGAGCTGAGGCTCTTACTACCCTCTTGTTTTTCTTGCTGAATGGTGAGCTGCTGCGGAAGCTTCAAGGTTATCAAGGGCCAAGAAAAAATTACAAAGACTCGGCAAGGATGTTTGCGTCCAGGGAGTACTAAACTGCTGCAAAGGTACCAGGCTGGCGGGCACTGACCTGCTCGAGCAGATAGATGAGCTGGTCTCGAGCCAGCCTCTTGAGCATGGAGAAATCAGGTAGCTCAGGGGCGTCCGGCCGATGGGGAAAAGCCATGGCCGCTGTCACCTGAGTCCCGGTGTGGAAGGAGGGAATAGTCTTCCGCTCTGGGAAGGCGGGCGGCAGCCCAGGATGAGCCCAGTGCGGTTATCTGTGCCGCACACCTGGCCACGAAGTCCCAGAGCCCCGGGGGGACTCTCGCCCCTCAGGCGCAATCCAGGAATGAATGTCCACCTTCCAGACAGACAGCATCAGCCTCCGGGGGCACTCGTCTCAGACCTGCAGCCACCGTAGGAAAAACCGTCCCTCCCTGATCCACTCTGCCAGTCTGGATTCCCGTCTACATCCGCAGACTCCGGGTGAGCCCTGAGAACCCCACCCCCGGCCTCAGAAACCACTTCCTAGACTTCCCGGAAGTGTAGGGCTCTCCTCTAGCGCTTGGCATACTGGGAAGGGAACGGCATCCGGAAAGGGACATTTGAAAGCCAGAGGTGACGAGTAGACTTTATTTTTTTGTTTTTTGTTTTTTTGTCCTTTGAGACAGGGTCTCACTGCGTACTTCAGACTGCTCTGGAACTCACTGTGCAGCTCAGGCTGGTGTCGAACTCGCAGCGATCCTCTTGCCTCAGCCTCCCGAGAGAGTGCTGGGATTACAGGGGTGCGCCACCACACCCGTCCTTTTTTGTTTGTTTTTTTGAGACAGGGTCTCACTGTGTAGTTGAGACTGAC